GCCGCACTTTACTACTTGTGCTATATCAACACATGCATGCACATAGATACACATGCATGCACATACACACACACGCACACAAGCTCACGCGTGCATGCGCACACACAGGATTCGACCTTTACAAATCTGATCTTGTAAAATGGGAAAGCTGAGGTTAGGAAAGGTCAGTGGCTGTCTAAGGTCACCCAGGACGTGTACAAAGGCAGGACTAGAATCTGGTGTCTTGTCCCCAAAATTTGGACAAATAGAATGTGAACCCAACTGAGTGCGCAGGAGGGATTTGAATGGTTTGGGTACAAAATCTTTACAGCTAGACAGGGTTTAATTCTGTGCTTCTCAGAGGGTTCTGGAGGCACCTGAATCACTTTCTAGGTGGAAGACTGCCGCGGTCCAGCCACGACGGGCTCCAGGGGGCCCCGAAGGTGGGCAAGGCGTCGGCGCGGGAGACAGTCGACTACACAACTCAGAGGCGGTGTGACACTGTTCCGTTTTATTGTGATTCGAGTACAACTTTTATACTTTCTATTTTGGCATTCGATTATACTTTGTGGTTAAGGTAGTAGGGAGTTAAATTTCTGTGGTTAGGCGAAGCAGAAAATCTTATAGAGTATATTATTATTAATATTCATGATGAACTAGTCCATTCTTTTCTCAGTCATTAGAACAGAACTACCTGATGCAACAATCTGAACTTTTAATTCTTATATCTATTACGTAAGATACAGTTTGACTTAAGTAAAGGTGACAGATGGAGGTATTCATAACAGCAAATATTGGCTTGTGGGCAGACATTGTTCTTCTTTCTGCCTGAAGAAATCTTTTAATTGCTATTTGATTTATGCTATTATCTAAAGTTCAAGCTGAACCTTTCTCATAGCTGTTCAAAAGTTTCCTTGGTGCAGTATTGAGAAAAATATTTATAAAAATCAGTTTTACAAAGCTGCTTTCGTAAGCTAAGTTTTTGTTCCTTTGTTTTTTAAGCACTAAGGAGGTCCTGACCTAGCCAGCCTTTCTATAAAACTTAAACTACTATAAGGCACATGAATTCTATCTTTATTCACCATATGTATGCTATCTTCATTATACGCTCCTATATAAGGCAAAGGAGGATCAGGTAATCTTTTCATACTATTAGCCCCCCTAGGTGGATACCAGAGTTTTCCATTTATCCAGTAGGCCACAAAAGGAGGCCTTTCCATAGTAGGCACAGGCTTATGAGTAAATTTCTTATCCTTTACTAATTTTTCTACTAACTGCATGGGAACAGGAATATAAGCTGGTTCTAGTAATTCAGCTTGTTGTAATTTATTCATAACATCTTTAAGAGGCGTGTCAAAAGGAATTTCTCTTAATAATTGTTCAAATAAAGGGTTTACGCATTCTGGACACGTCAGGGTGACTGGAGCTGATTCCGTACGCGGGGAATTTACTATGTTTTCCTCAGAGCCAATTTTGAGGAAATCCACTTGTACAGCGTTTACACTTACTAGAATTTGTGCTACCCAAATTCTCCCTATTAATAGGATCGTTCCTAAGAAACCAATTATCCCTACACACATGCCACGTCCTCGTTCTTGACGATGCATTCCTTGAAGCTTCTGTCCCCATCTCCGGACCTTGTCACGCAGTAGGGTAGAAAGAGGACGCGGCAGAAGACCTTAAATGTCAGGCTGAAGAACTTGGCAATGGGGAGCCACGGAAGCCTTAGAGGAAGGGAGTGATGCATTCGGAGAGCATGGAAGAAAAGATGGATAGAGGGCCTTGACTGATAATAACAAACCCCCGGCCAGGTGTTCACTTATTGCATAGTTATGGGCTTTCTGAATTCAGCAAGAAAGAAAGAGGGCTCTTGCCACCTGGGTAGCATGTGGGTAGGATGGGTCTCTGTGCCTAATCAGAGGCGAGCATTCCAGTTTCCTTCCTCAGGCTGGTACGGGTCCCAGGAGCAAGTGCCAGAAGCAGATCTGCAAGTGTGAGCAGAGTTGTCTTTATGTCTGCAGCAGCATCTGGACACATACAGCGGCTGGAATCTCATTATCGAGAACGAGCCATGCAGGAAATCTGCACCCCCTGCTGGACATTAGGGCACTGAGTTATCTCCTCTGGCCCCCTAAGGACATGGCCTAGCATGAAAGTCTAATAGCTTGCCCACCCCCTCACCCAGCGCAAGCTCAGGGAGACATCAGTGACTGGGAAGCCAAAGTGTGATCCCAGTGCTTGTCCCGACTGCCCCACCAGAGAGGTCAAAATGCCAACACTCCTGTATTACCTGCCCAGCTCCTCATTTCCTATTCCTGCACTGGTCTGTGAACTCCTTGAGGGCAGGGACTGATCATTTGTTCATTCAATCACTAATTCACTCAACAAACACTTGTTGAGCACCTGCTATGTAGCAAGCCTCCTGTTGGGCACTGGAGAGCCTGCCGGCTCAACCAGAATTTTATTGGAACGGAACTAGTAGGGGGATACCTATGTCTAAAATAAAGGATTTGTTCATTGGAATTGTGACTGTGTGAGCCAGTAAAACAATCTATGAGAGGCTGTTTTATGCTGGTGCTGCTGGGCAAACCAGAACTGCCAGTATGCAGGGAATCCAAGGGGACCGCCTGGAACACCCTTCAGCATCTCACCACCTCCAAGTCGCTGACGAGAGAACCAAAAGGAGGCCACCTGGCAGGATCAATTTCAATCGCCAGTGAAGGGCCTATATCTATAAGGCAACCTGTCTATTGAATGTCTGCTTTGGTGTTATCTGCCTACTTTTATACATAAAACTCTACTCAGGGAGGCAGTTACGGTCTGCTCTGTACATTTCAGCATCTCCCTTAAAAGGGAGGCTATGCCATTTTGAGATGGCCTTCCTGATGGTTCTCCTGCCAGCCAAGAGATAGTCAAATAAAACAGCAAGGAGACCACCTCTTCCCAAGGTTCGGTGGTGACTTGATTATTTCCCCAGAGTTGCTCATGGCAGTGAGGGTGGCTCCAGGGCACCAGATATGGAGGACCCCAGTGGCGTCCGCTCCACTGAGGATGAAGCCCAGAGCCCCAGCCAGGCTAAGCACCCAAGGACCGACTCTGGAATCCCGGGAGGCAGTTAGAGCAGAGAAGAAATGGAGCTGGAATCCAGGGGGCTCTCCTGAGAACCCCGATGTAGGTTAGCCCCTGAATCGCTCCAGGTCTTGTTTTCTCTCTCCATGGGCTGGAGTTGAAGACAGTGGAAAGTGGTCAGAGACCAGGATTTAGAACCAGCATCTGAGTTCTAATCCTACTTCTGCTGTCGATGCGCTGTGTGACTTTGGGAAAGTCTCCTAACTTCTCTGGACCTCAGTGTCCTGGTAGATAAATGACTCTTCTAGCTCGAACCCATGTCAGATTGTAATATTACTTTTAAAATCTCACAGCATCCCTCATCCACAAATGCCTGTCCATACCTGTCGGAAAACTGGGTCTCTGAGCGGAGGTGCACCAATAAGAAGGGCCTGCCCACAGCTCCTCCTGCAGAACTTACCAGCAAGATGCCACCCCGCCTGCCACCTGACCCAGAAGGGAAGGGAGAAGCCTGGACTGGGTCTCTTCTCCATCATCCAGAATATAGAAATCGAAAAGAAATGGCATTAGGAGTGAAACTTCCCATTTCCTCTACGTATCTGTTTAAAAATGAATTTGGACAATGGCTTTGATTAAAAATGTTTCATGAGCAAATTGGACATTTGAGCCCCACTCTGTGTTATACTGTCAAATATAGCCATGAGACCACAAAAGACTTTTCTAAACTACCAGTACTTTCAGGGTAATCTCATAAAACTAAATTTTATTTAGAAAATGTTCGACATTGGAGGTTTTTAAATATAGATCCCATTTATCATGTGGTTATTTTGGGGTTTGTCACAGTAAGAAAACCAAAGGCCTTTTCTTGAACAGGACTCTCCTTTGTTTTGAAATATGTCCTTTCTTCCTGAACTCTTGGTATTAGAACATCCTTTTCTTTTTTTTTTTTATAAAGTGCTAGATGAGTTCTTAATGTTTTTAATGTTCTTTGGTAAAAATAAACGCCATACCTGAACCCGATTAAAAGAAATGTCCTGTTCTGTGAAATCCCAGAATCCCAGCAACCCTGTGTCAGCATCGAGGTGGCTTTGGGTTTCCCAATTTATATTGCAAGAAACATTACAGTTTCTTTTTTAAGAGACTGAAAGTTGGAGGGGTTCAGAAATGGGCTGGGCCCCTCCAGCTGAAGAAGCCAAGCTAGAGTTTGAATGCAGCCCTCTCCAGTCCAAGCTGGCATAATTGTCAATCATCTATTCCCCAGCCCCTCAAGGAAGAGACCCAGTGCTTGGCTCCAGAGGACCCCCAAGGTTTAAGGAGATGAGCCCTCAAAGAAGGCCTGAAACTTATCCCTGAAAACCTTCTGTTGGCTAACGTGCACCTTCTATCTGAGAAAACATGGTTAACTTTGGGTTTAGCGCCCCAGTGGCAGAGAAGGAGGCACAGGCAATCCCCCATGGCAGAGGAAAATGCCTGCTTGGTTTTTATTAGTCATGAGAAGGAATTTTATTTAATATCTACATGTCAGATTTGTGGAGTCAATTTTGCTTTTCCTTGAGTAAAACTCTCTAGAGGGTGGTAATGATAATCTCACTGCAGAAACTAAAAAGTAAATGCATCCAGAAAAGTCTTCTTCCTGAAGAAGGGTCATTATCTTCAGAGGCGAGGACAGCTGGCCTGGGGTCAGGTGTGAGCTCTGGGCACCAGAAGAACTGACCTCACAATTAGAGGCCAGGGACTCTGACCTTGCCAAGTCCTATGACCAGAATCACTCTCTTGGAATTCTCTGGAGGGGGAAGTGTGGCCGTAGGGCTCCTCCAAGCCCATTGGACCATCAAGAAAGAACAAGGTCGGAGACATGGGAGCCCCTCCCAGGAGCGCAGCAGCGTCAGCGAGCTCCATGCTGTAGGAGAATGGAGCAAAGTCGTGATCTGGGAGGAGCCCCCCGAGGGCGACTAGGTGCAGAAGATGTTGGGAAAGAACCGGTAGCCGGGGTTGTAGCTCTTCAGGTTTCTATTCAGGCAGTAGACCAGCTTCCGGTCACAGGCGCAGAGCTTCACCTGGCAGAGGTGCCCGAGCTCTGCAAACAGGATGCCAAATGCAGAATGAGGAAGGGAAGGTACGCTCTCCCGGCTTTGACTCCCCAGCCTGCCTCCATCAGGACTCGCCGCTAGGCTGAGCATACTCCCAACCTGCTTCCTGCTCTCAGTCTGATGAGTGAGGCACAACGTCTACACCGTCTACATCTACACTGGCGGAATGCATAATCTGATGGAAGGACACAGCTGCTGTCCAGGGAGACACAGCTCCTCCCCTCGGAGAGTTCCCAGTCTGATGGAGAACAGACAAGCCCTGCTCTGGAGGAACCCCACTTCTCAGAGAAGAGACACCCATACCCATACTTAGCTTTCAACTCAGGTGGATGTGAGCTTGAATCCCAATGCTAGCTATGTGTACTGGCAAGCCTTTGAGTTTCAGTTTTCTCATCTGTAAAATGAGAAGACTAAACCTACTCACTGGGTATTTTCAGGGAGCAAGTAAAAAGAAGTATGCAAAGCATTTGGCGCCTAGTGAATACTCAGTGTAAGATGTTCCAGCCCCTCCCCAGGAGTTGGATACAGTTGCGATTTTCCTGCCCCCAGCTCTTCCTCCCTGAAGATACAGGCTGGCTGATCTCTAAGGGCAGCTGAACTGAGCCAGCAGAGAGACCCAGGCTCTTCCAGTGACCTGCATGGGAAGTCCCAGCCTTACCACAGGTTACCAGGCCCCGTGTGACTCTGTATTTGTATGACTGTGTCCGGTAGTAGCAGCCTTTCTCCTCCAGCCACTCATAGCAGCGGTCATGCACCCAGCAGCACCTGTCAATGCAAGACACTTAGATCCTGAGGGGAAGGGGCATGTCACTTAAGCAGAGGCCACACCATAGGTGTGGTCTGGTAAAGAAAGAATCTAATAATATGGCTGAGCACTTCCTTCCCTGCTCTCTCACTAGGGCTGTCTGCCACTGACTAGCAGTTCACTGACCTGCTTTTTCCTCCCGGGCCCACAACGAAACTACATTTCCCAGCCTCCCTCGTAGGTAGGTGTGGACGCGTGACTAAGTTCCAGCCGGCGGGGCATATGGGCAAAGTGATGTACCACACTTCCAGACCTACTCACAAAAACCTCCACTTTCTCCCCTTTCTCCATCTCTCAGCTGGATGAAGATGATCCAGCTGAGGACTCTGAGGCCTTAGGAATGGAGAGCCACGAGATGGAAGGAACCTGGGTCCCAGAATCGACATGTTCGATTGAACTGTTCAATGAGCAAAAACTAAACTTCCAGTATGCTAATGTGGCAGATTACATTTAAAATCTTTTTTTGACTTACAGAAAAATGTAGAAGAGTATACATCGTGTTCTCATTCACATCCAGTTTCCCTTATTATGAACCTCTTATATTATGAATATGATACATGTGTTATCACTCACAAACTAATACTGATATATTAACTGAAATTTTTAAAAATAATTAAGTAGTAATATATCATTATTGATTCATCAACTGTAAAAAGTTCATAGCTTATTCACATTTCCTTAGTTTTTACCTAATGTCTTCTTTCTACTCCAAGATTCCATCCAGGACACCACATGATATTCAGTTGTCATATTTCTTTAGGCTCTTCTTGGCTGTGGCACTTTCCTTAGGTTTGATGACGTTGACAGTTTTAAGATGCATTGGTTAAGTATTTTGTAGGATGGCTTACTGTTGGGATTCTCTTTTTTTCTTCTCATGACAAAACTGGGGTTATACATTTACTTTTTTGGTCAAATTGTTGCAGCTTTGGTCATCGGGCCTGTACTCTTTAACATATCCCTATCGGTGTGGGGTCTGTTTTCTTTTTTATCGATCGATCGATCGATCTATCTATCTCTCTATCTATCTCTCTATTTATTTATTTTGGTTCTCTTTGAGCACTTTCTTACTTTTTGGCATTATAGGGACCTCCAGGCTCCTCTTGCATATTTCCTGCTCTAGTCCTAGCATCAGGCATTTCCCCAAGAAGTCTTGCTTCCTTTTATCAGAGAATGGTATGAGAAAACAGATTTACACACTAGGTGTTGCTTGTTGTTAGAGGTGTTGTTTCTTTTAAGTCCTCTCGGCTGACAAAGCAAAACATATGTGTCTATATTAAGCCCTGTGTATACACATGTGCATACATATTTCTATATGTAACCATCTGTATCTATATTAAGCTGAACGGGAGTTTATACTGAAGTCTCCAACTCTAATCCATCACCACATAGATCATTCTCACATCCTTTCCTTGCTCGTCTGTAAACTTCTGCTCCAGCAGTGAGAAACTTGGCTCCAACCATCTGCCATCCATTTGCTTGCTTGATTGATCGCCTTGTTCCATCACACGTGTCTAGCAGTATCAGAATTGTTAACCCAGCAGTTTGTATTTTCCAAAGAACAATCTCTTCCATCTCACATATTCTGGAACTTTGTCATTTTCCAATCAAGATATGGAAACTAGGTCCCCTTCCTTTTAAAGCTTTTGTGATTGCCTTACCAAGAGCATACTGGCAGGACCGCCATGAAATTTCTGAAGCTAAATCATAAAAATGCCACTCTATTGCCTTGCAGTCTTGGGGCGCTCACTCTTGGAACCCAAGTCACCGTGCTGTGAGGAAATCCAAGCAACCTTGGAGAGGCCTGAGTTAGAGGGATGAGGCCTCCAGCCTCATCCGAGCTCCCAGCCAGCAGACAACTTGCCAGCTATTGGAGTGAGCCATCTGGATATTAGATCATCCAGTCTCAGTCAAAATGCCCAAGCCGGGTAGAGCAGAAATAAGGCAAACCACCCAGCGCCGCCCAAATGGCAGATCCTTAGCAAAACAAATGGTCATCATCACTTTAAACCACTACATTTTGGGGTGATATGTTACGTAGCAATAGACCATCGGATATATTAAGCTACTGAGATTTGAGGAGTTACTGGATGTATCTTGGGCAAGTCAGTTAAACTCTGAGACTCGGTGTTCTTATCTGGAAAATGGTGCTTCCATTTTCTCATTTTCTCATTTTCTCATTTACTCATCTTCCAGAATCGACACGGAGTTAAACGAGATAATGTGGGCACAGAGCCTGGAGCACAAAGGGCCGTCATGATAACCGACTCACCAATCTGTACCGTCCTTGGGGGTCCCGTGACCTCCCCAACCGCAGTAACAGCCATAGAAGCCGTAGTTTATCAGGGCATTCTTTCCTGTCACCGTTTTGATCATCGACTTCAGTTCTAGCAAGCCCCCCGGCACAGTAGGCACACCTGAAAGACAGCCCACAGCCCCAGGTGAAACCAAGGCGTGCCTTCTACAGGCCCAATTTCTCAGCATGCTCCTGCCCTTTCTCCCACCCTAGGACTTGGAGGAACCCTAGTGTCTCTTTTTTATCCTCCCCATTAGCGAGGAAGGGACAAGGAAGGTGAAGGCAAGCAATATAGAGAAGCGGTTAAGAGTTTGGACTTGGAGAATGAGCAAGCCTGGGTTCAAACCCTGACTCTGCCATTAATTCATTGTATGATGTTGAATAGGTCACTTATCTCTCAGAGCGTTGGTTTCCTCACGTGGAAATGGGGGCCTAAAATGAATACCTACCTCTTGGAGTTGTCGCGAGGGTTAAGATAAAGGATGTAGATGTCGAGCACAGTGGCAGACACATAGTAAGCAACCAAGAAATATTCAGTATCATTAGCACGGCATCTCTATGAAGCAGACAGACTCTTTCTGTCTCCCCTGACAACGCATCCCCTCTTCCCCCGACTAACACCCATGAAAACATAAGCCACAGAATCTTCAAGCAGGATGGGACCCTTAGAGATCATTGAAGCCAGCTGTCTCATCTTACAGATAGGGAAACTGAGACATGGAAAAAGTGCCTTGTCCAGGGGATCGCAGTGGGCCAGCGGCTCACTCCCTGCACCGGGCCTCCCGCCCCTCCTGGAGTCTCCAGAGATCTGAGAGAAACATTGAAGCGCAGGACAGCCTTTCGGGAGCCTAAAGCTGGGCTCCCCCACCCCCCATGCTGTGCAATTACCTCCAGCTGGCAGGTGGCAGCAGATAGGGTGTGTAGAAAACCAAGACAGGCTGGATCAGAGCATGACCAGGAATCATGGAATGAAACGTTTATCTAAGAAGACTGTTTTTTTTTTATTTTGTTTTTGTTTTGGCTTTATTTTATTTTGTTTTACATGGGACAAAAAATCTGCCTCCTGCATACAAGCAGTATGTTCTCCACATAACAAACTTTATGCATCACCTCCTAGAATCCTGCCACAGCCCTGCCAGTTGGCGAAATATCATCCTATGTCACAAATGAGGGAGCGGAGCCTGGGAGAAACAAAAGCTCTTGCTGATGTCTACACAGTAAGTGCAGAGCCAAGATTCAAAATTAATTCCTTTTCACTACCCTTTTGTTCCTAGGGGGTAGAAGGTCACGGAAGTTTGTGGTCATGGGGCCAGCACTTACTGCAAGCCAGGAACCAAGCCAGGGTCAAGAGGCTTTTCATCTCTGGGATTCTGGAAAAGAAAACACATCCCATGACATCCCTACCAGGAGATGCCCCCTTGGCCCATTCAGACCCCACCCCTGGCTTCCCACCAGTCCCTACTCTGTCACGTTGGGCAGTAAACGGGCAACCGCAGCCCGAAAAGATGAGGCTGAACAAGGAGTTGATCCAAAGGGTCCCTGGGGGCAGAGGGATATTGTCCCCAGTAGAGACGAGAGAGAACCATCCCACCACAAGGGCACCTGACCACAAATGCCCCTGACACAATGGCTAAAAGAAACCAGAGAAATAAATGGGTTTCTTAAATGGCACAACTGAGGGGCAGAAATCGATACACCCTGGACGTGGCAGGGAGAAAAGAATCCTGGACAAGGGGAGAGCCTGGTGCGGGTTGCGAGGGCAGAAGGGAAACTGAAGGTTTTAAGTCTCAGATTTCTTTTATCTTATGGTGCCGAGGGTCTGCTCGAACATGTCTTCCCTGCTGGTATTCTGAGGGAAGAAGCCAGTGGATTCACCCCTCTCTCCCAGCAGTGAGGAGAGAGCCCGGCCGGGAGGAGATGCTGGAGAATGAAGCGCGACCACGCTCTATGTGGTGTGGCTTTCAGGGCCTCATTATGGCTTTCGTGGGTCCCAAGCCCTTTTGCCTTCAAAGGCCCCTTCCCCCCTCCCCCCAAAAAAACTTTTTAAAAGTATATTTTACAATTGCATTGGTATAAGAACAAATACAACCCAAGCTGGATTCGTTATTATAGATTCATCATTACTATATTTATTTTTTCCCTCCGATTTTAAAGAAATTTAAAATTTTCATCAGTCCCAGGCACTGTGCCTACAATAGGTGGACACTGGGCACTCGTGACAGCTTGGAAAGGTCATTTCATTGTTCTTGCTTTGCCAGTGGAGAAATGGAGGCTCAGAATGCTCAAGGGACTTGCCAGAAGTCATACAGCTAGTAAGAAGTGGAGGCAGGATTTCAAGCCAGGCCTAGTGTGCCCCTCTATGCACCACACAGCCTCCCTCTTTTGCGCCATGAAATTCTACCCCATGGCCTGGAGGCCCCAGCTTCCCTCCCCAACAGACCCATAAGTCGCTGGCCTAGAGTACAAAAAATAAAATAAAATAAAATAAAATCACAACCAGGAGGCAGAGGAGATTCCCTGGGTCTTAGGCCAGTGCCTGATTCTAACTTGGCCTCTTAGAGGCTCCGTTACTGGTGTCCCTTCCTCTCTGGATCCCAAAGTCCTTGTTCATCCACAGTCGCTCAGCTGGCCTCTGTTCTGCCAGGATGTCCCCTTCGGTGCCCTACCATCTCCGATCCCTAAGTTCAGTGGTCACTTCTGACAGTGTTCTGCCCCGAACCCCTGAGCCCTCCCAAAGCCTGGCTCCAAACATACAAACTCTGACTCCCCAGGGCTCCTGGCATCTGGGATAGCTTCTCCATGTTATCTCTTGTCCAACAGTTCCTCTGAGTTCCAAGGACATTCCTGAGGGTTCTGTCCACCCATGGTGTCTACTCCGAGGGCACTGAATAGTCAAGGAAAAGGGCCCTAGACCCTACCCGTCCACACCAATATTTCTCAGCTGCTTCCTGGAGCTGCGACAGGAAGAAGACACCAACAACCACATACTGGGCACCTGCAACGTGCCCGGCACTGTCCGCCGTCTCTATAAACCCTCCGATGATCCTGGCGGGTACGTATTGTTAAACCCGCTGGCACAGTGTCTGTCCCTTCGACAGTCATTTGTTGAATGAGAGAATAGCAGGTGTTGATTTTACAGAGGAAGAAATCGAGGCTCAGGAAGGGGAAGTGAGTTGCCCAAGGATTTAGCCCAGGATTGTGACTCTACTCTTTTGATTGAATGGACTCCACTGCCTCTGAGCAGCCCCTGTGTATTAATCATGTTGTTTCTCTTCTATGATGCTTGGACATCTTGGGGTCCTTGCTGAACGAGGAAGAGACAGCCCCTCCCAGGACTAGCTAATTCTTAGATACAGCGAAAAAGACTCCCTTGGGAGTAAGCCTTTCACATGCCAACCAATCAATCCTAGACTACCTCACCTAACCACCATTTTTTTATCTAACTCTCCAATATTTCCTCTGCCCTAAATCACCCCAGGGCCAGGACCAAACCACTAGGGGCCACCCCTATAGCCCGGAGTCCCTGAAATTGTTGACGCTAACCAATTCCAAACTATTGACCCTGCCCTGCCTTGCCTTTCCTGGTAGGAAAACACACTAAAGGCTCTGGGCCACGCTTTCGCTCATTTCTTCTGCGTCCTGAGTGTCCCTGGTGCTTCCCCGTGTGTCCCTGCATGGTATGATGTGTCCTCTCCTCTTGGGAACTGTGAGTAACAAACCCTCTTTTAAATGGCATGTTTCCTGAGCTGTCGGCCTCATCATACCTGAATAAGACCAAACTTCCTGCGCAGTTTAGAACATCTTGGGACATAGGTTGTGGGTTTGGGGGCGCGGCAGGAGGTCCCACACAAAGGAGTCAAAAGACAGCAAAAGGAGTTTCACAGAGGAGGCGGCAGAGGCATGGAAACAACTGCCCTAGGAGCAAAGGAAATGGACCATCCATGGAACCCAAAGCAGATCCCCAGAAGAAGGATGTGGGATTGGCTATTTTTACCAAGCAGCCACACAGGAAAATGAAAGTAGCCACGAGATAATTTTGGAGTGGAACAGTGGCTGCGGTAATGAGAGGTAGAGAGAGTGGAGACAGCCTGACAGAAGCATGAAAATGTGGGGGCCGGGGAGTGGCTGAGTCACCGGACGAACAGGTCCTCCAAGTTCACATGCAGAGCCCCCTGTGCTCCCAGGACACGCCCCGCCCACCTTCCCAGTTCATGTGTCCTGGCTGGAAAGAGCCAATAGCACCAAACCCCACTGTCCAGAAGGCAGGTTAGAGACCTCCCGGCTTTCTGTTGAGGAGGCAACAGGGAGCCCGGGAGTCTCCTCTCACAGCCCCTCTCTGTGCCCTGCTCCCCCCGCCACCCCCAGGAAAGGCAGCCCCCAGAATGGGATTCCTCACCGGTGAGACCTTCTCTCCATCGTTGTCTCAGACCTGGAGAAGGGGCAAGGGCTGGGCCTGCCTGGTTTTAAGGGCCTCCCTGGCCGCCTCCCACACCCCTGCCTGCCAGCTACTCACATAGGAAGCCCCACCTCTCCCCTCAAGACCCCTGGGGATTTTTTCCTATGTTCAGGAAACACATCATAGAGACCTGGGTGGCTTTCAAGAAGGATATTGAGTCTGATCTGACATGGGCCACCCACACGCCAGGATTCTTCTCCCCCAGGGACCAGCGACCTGGAATCCCCGTCCGGCTCACTGCCCTGGGCTCTCTCCCAGCCTCCAGCCCCGGCCCCTGCTCAAATTTCATTCTGCCTCACTAGGCCTCATCCCAGGGGCAGCCAGGACGGGCAGGTGGCACCCCCTTTAGGCCCCGCCCCTGTTCTCTTCCTGTTGCTCCCGATGTGCCAACCCCAGTTCTCCCCATCCCATTCCCAGGCTGGGACAGCTCGAGAGCCTGCGGAAGTCCCCCTTTGGAGTCGCTATAAAACGTTGTTCCCAAGCCCAGCTGGCACTTCATTTTTGCACTGACTTCCTACCGAATTCCTGCATTCTTTCCATCTGGGAAAAGGAAAGCATGGGGCTTGCAGTTAGAGAGATGCAGGCTGGAGGTCCCCCACTCAGGAGCTGTGTGACGCAGGGCAAGTCAACACACTTCTCTGTTTGTTCCCGTGACATGAGACTAATGAATCCAGGCCATCCCAGAGGCTCGTAGTGAGGTGTGCCACTCACAGACTCTAGATCAGCTTCAAGTACTAGGTTCAAATCCTGCCATTCCCACTAAGAGCTATGTCACCCAGGGCTGATTGTAGTTCGCCTGCCTCAGAGAGTTGTTAGGATTGAACGATTTAATACCGTATAACAGAACAGTGGCAAAATAATGCTAACAAATAAAAACGTTACCTCCTAGGCCATTCTCACAAGGACACAGGTAGCTGTTATTATTCTCCATTCTCTACTTCCATTAATCCCCACGTCCCCACCGACCCGCCTCCCCCACAACACACACACACACATGTCTGAGAAGACATGGGCGCACCCCCTCTCCTCTCTTCCCTCTCAACTTTTTCCTCTCCCTCTCTCCTTCCTGGCAGCATCAGAGAAAGCCCCTCCTCCACACCTCTCTGGAATCCTTCTCTTCCTACGACCTAATCACTAGGCATTCCACAGAACCCTGTGGATTCAATTTAACACAAAAAGTACTGACTGAGTGTCTGCTACATGCCAGGCACTGCTGGGACCCACCGTGGAAAGACAGACCTGGCCCATGCGCTTCTCTCTGGTCGGGGGAAATTGATAGTAAAGGCATCAAGTCGATAAATGCACAACATGTCCAGGGGCAATCGTTGTTATGGGGAAAACTCCTGTGTTCTGTATTTTTATCTCTCTTTCTCTACCAGTCCCTTCCTCTGCTGGCGGGCACACACGAGCCTTGCCATCCGAAACCAACAAAAGGAGCCAAAGAAAAAGGAAAACATCCCTTGCCTCTGCCGACCTCTCTCCAGCTTTCTTTTTCCTCGAAAAGCCAAATTTTAGGAGAAGCCTGCCCTTGCTCGTCGCCCACTCCCTTCTAACCCTTTGCTGCCTGGCTTCTGCTGCATCCCTGAGCCAGCTCTCAAGGGTCCCCCAAAGCCTGGTGTTGCCCAAGCCTCGGTTTCACCCCCTCGATCTTTCGGTCACTCCATCCCACCAACCACGTTCTCCTGGAAACTCTCTCTCTTTCTGGCCTTCAAAAGGTCTCACTGTCATCAGCCCTCTTGCTACTCAAACTCCCACCTCTGTCTCCCCCAAATGCAGGTGTTTTCAAGGGACCTGCCCTCAGGAGTCTGCTTCCCATTTCTCCATCTCTCCTGAGGTGTGCTTATCCACATTCGGGGATTCGGGTCTTATTTCCATGCGGATTCCAGGAGCTCTCCTGCCACCTA